GGGGGGGGAGGGTCCCTTTAAGCACAGGCCTCGATAGCCTCAGGCAGCATCCATACAAAGTAATTCTTGACCTAATGCCCTGTCGGACCTGGTTCCGGCTGGCCTTAAATGAGATTCAGCGTCCACTCAGTGTGGACGTGCTATTTCAAAATAGCAAAACGCTATTTCAAAATGCATTTTGTGTGTAGACACATTATTTTGAAATAACTTATTTCTGAATAACTAATTTGAAATAAGATATTTCGAAATAATGCTGTAGTGTAGACATACCCTGATTCTGTGACTCTGCTCTGTCTAGATAGCAGGGCATCTGGGTGAAATTTCAGTGGTGGACCCACAGCTTAAAATGGTCAGGCCATGCCCTCCTCTCCCCCTTCCCCCCCTCCACATACATCTTCCAACTGCTGGATCTATAGAACTTTCAGCAAGTGCAAAAACATTGGCTGGGGGTGGCTCTTGTCCTTTCACCAGCCTCCCCTAATTGATATAATTGCCTCTAGCCCCAGTGTAACTGTCAGTGGTAATTCCCCCTGCCTGTTTCTTCACCACATCTCTCTATCTTCTTCCCCATCTTTATCAACTTGTTTCTTAGCCTCGCTCTCTCACTTCCTTCACACCATCTGTCTTCACTGCTTTTTAGCTTTATGTGCTGTGTCTTTTTCCTCTTGCTCTTTTCTGTTGTTGCTTTGCATCCTTCTACACTCTTACGCAGTAGTGAGTCTGGCAAAGATCACCTCATCCCTTAACACTTGCTGGTGGCACCACTGCAGGGAAGCACTTGCTATACAAGAGTACAGGGAAATATCTAATTTTAGCACGTGTTGGTTGTGGGGATCAGTGAACAATTTGTTCTCTCTCATGTGTGTCTGTAGAAGTTAGAAAAAGCTTCCTGATGAAACTAGTGAAATTCAAGTATACTAACATTGCAAACAACCCAAAGGGACAAATCGAAACTATCACAGTGTCAATATTTGGTGCTTGTTGCAAATATGACATTATTAAATGTTATATTCTCGTGCCTCTTGTAAATGTTGAAAGCATTTTTATGTTTGAGAATCACTGCTAGGATTTCTAATCATATTTCTTACATTTGACTGTCAATAACTACATTATGAAATAAGTCATTTATGGGCCTGTTAACTTTTCAGCCACCAAATTCTTCATATGTTTCTGCAGAATCTTATGTGTAGTGGCACAACATCTTTTTTATATAATTTGCTATATTCATATTGGGAAGCCCTTACTTATATTGATGTCCGTATTTTCACTGACTTCAAAGAGACTCATCTTGTCAGTAGGTACTTCCACTCTGAGTAAGACTTACAGAATTGGGCTTTTGTATTTTTCTTGTATGTATTTTTGTAAAATAATAGTTGAAAGAGACTAATATTTGCTATGTTAAAAGTTGAACTAATCATACTCTAGTGCATTTGTCTAATGCTGTCAATGTTTATTTTTACACAGGGAATAAATCACAAGATAGTGGGATCGCAGAGATGGAGGAACTTCCAGTCCCACACAACATCAAAATAAGTAACATCACATGTGATTCTTTCAAGATTTCATGGGACATGGATTCTAAATCCAAGGATCGTATTACTCACTATTTTATTGATCTCAACAAGAAAGAGAACAAGAATTCCAACAAATTTAAACACAAGGTAATTTTTAAAAAACAGTAAACAATGATTTTTAGAATAAATACAAAATTTTGTGACAATCGTCTGGACTGCCATGGAAAGCCACATACTGAATTCACTAGAAAGCTGGGATTTGTAAAAGAACTGATAGAAAAAAAAATCCAATAGAATAATTTTTGAAAAACTTGTTTAAAAATTGAAATGAAACTATTTGATAATGTTAGAACATTCCATTTGATTTGTATTACACTATAAATTCAAATATAAAAGTCAAATTAATAAAACATTTAATTTTCATAGAAATTAAATGTTTTGATTCAAAATAATTTTTTGAAAATTTTTCCTTCCAATTGAAACCTAAAACAAATTTTGAAACAGTAGAATTTCCAGCAAAACAGAAGTTCTGGTTCCTTTACCAGTCTTATTTTTCATTAAACAGGTTGCGCATGGTGCCCCTCTGCCTATCCTCACAACAGCAACATGTGTCTTCTTGACATAAGATTTAATAATTAACTTCTAGGAAGGTTTCCAGCAGTCTTCCTCTGCTTCTTAATGCTTGTTCAGAATGATTTAAAACACTTGTTCAGACATTTCAGCAACTATTGAGCTGAATATTTGCTCTCTGTTAGATGTCAGCGGTACATTACATTTGTTTATTTCAAAGTACTGTTAGTTATGTACAGGCAGTCCCCGGGGTTACGTACAAGATAGGGACTGTAAGTTTGTTCTTAAGTTGAATCTGTATGTAAGTCGGAACTGGCATCAGCCGCTGCTGAAATTGATCAGGACATTTCAGCAACTATTGAGCTGAATATTTGCTCTCTGTTAGATGTCAGCGGTACATTACATTTGTTTATTTCAAAGTACTGTTAGTTATGTACAGGCAGTCCCCGGGGTTACGTACAAGATAGGGACTGTAAGTTTGTTCTTAAGTTGAATCTGTATGTAAGTCGGAACTGGCATCAGCCGCTGCTGAAATTGATCAGTTTCAACTGCCGCTGAATCTGGACGCCAGTTCCGACTTACATACAGATTCAACTTAAGAAACCCAGGCGTCCCCAAGTCAGC